CGCAGAGGTCTCCTGGGTGCCTGCCTACACAGAACACTGGTGTGTGGTGCTTCAGGGCCTGTTCTCCATGCTAGGGGGCCAAACTTGCCCTGAAACTTGCCACAGACTTGCCCTTGCAGGCCCCTGGGTAGAGCTGGGTAGAGGCCCAGGAGAGCCTGATCTCCAAAGAGCTGGTCCCAACATCCCGAAGGCCGGTGGGTGGCGGCAAAAGCAGCAGACTGAAAAGGCTTGGGCTACCCAGGTCCTAGAGATGTGAAATGCCAGCTCTGGATCTTGGAGTGGGCCAGTGCAGCCTGCTGGCTCTCCTGCGTGGAGTTTGAGGAACGTGAGGAAACACCCAATATTGCTAGCTCAGTAGGCAGCAGTGCGTAAACCCCTCCCACAGCATCTGATAAAACCTTGGAAACGCTGTTGACACCTTACTAGAACGTTAGCTCACAACGGTTGTGTTTTGCGCATTGCCATACCAAACACCTAGAGCAGTGCCTAGTAAGAAAATGGGCATTTGATAACTATTGCTGAATTGCATTTATTGGATACATGCAGAGTAAAAATGGCCACAAATTGTAGCAGGTCGAAGTGTTCACAGAGCCTGAAGGAAAGTGGACAGCAGGGATAGCAGCTCTGGAAGCGGGATGAGGTGGGCATCTGGAATTTAGTACTGCAGCACAAGGAGAAGAAGCTGCCTGGAGACTAGTGAGCTCAGGTAGCCCGTCACTGGTACACTGGGGATGCTGTAGACAAAGGAATGATAGCTTTAGAGTATTTATGAGTACCTATCACAGGCTCAGCCCTTTCCTAGGATTCACATGGTGTTCTAAAGAGAAGAATCAAGAAAACAGCTCATTATTTCTCATTAACACAAGGCCCTGTCTTCTTCCCAGGAGCCCCACACTCCCACTGCCTCAACTCCCATTTGTGGGAGAAGCTGAAAAAGCTGACCAGGTAGGAAGTTTCCTTCTCCAAATGAAGCTCCTAACTAGGGTTCAGAACAAGCCCTTGGTCTGTTGTGACCAATAGCAGCATTCTGCTTAAATCAGGGCCCATGAACAAGTCTGCATCTCAGAGCAAGGGACAGATATAATTCCAGGATTCTCCCGATCTTCTTAGACTAGGACCACAATACAAATTAGACATTGCTTCTCTTAATTTCTAGGTCAAATTTAGCTAATCATTGGATTCATCAGAAGCCTAGGGGGTTGAATGTCAAGATAAACATACCTAGGGCACCCCATGTTTCTGGGTTATCCTTAGATATGATGGGGTGGAGAGATTCCAGCCACAGAGAAAGGCTGTAAACAGCCAACAAGCATTTGGAGAGAGCTACCAATCCAGACACGCCAGCAGTTGTGGTGGCTGCCTGGATGGTCACTCACAGAGGAAAAAGGGGTGAGAGAACTGGAGATAGGGGGAAATGTAGGTCTTTCCATACAACAGCAGCTTCCAATTAGAGAAACAGATAATGGGTATCCAGCTATCCAATCCACAAAGGACAAAGTCCCTGCTTTGGCACAGTCTGTTGGGATGAAGCATGCCTAGAGGTAGAGTGAGCCCTTTCTAGGTTAGCATAACCAGATACGGGACGTCTGCCATTCACTGCAAAGTGCTTCATAAAGCTGGCTGCATTTATCTGCTTAATAAAACCAGAATATGGAACAAACCCCCTTTTCCAGTTCCCCAGAGCGCTGTTGTAAAGAATGTTAATTAGAGCCAGGCTGCACAGCACTGGGGCTGAGCTATACTATAGTTTGATGCTGCAAGGCAGAGAAGTTGCCATGTATTTTCTAGATAAGCAAAATGCAGATGATGTTTAATACCAGAAATCTCTCCAAGGAAAGAACATTCTGTAGCTCAAAGAAATAATGCGAGTTTAATTTTTGGTTTGTCTTTTAAAAATAGTACATTCAGGCTTTTGTGATCAGTGCAATAATGACAGATATAATTATTCAGAGATGAAGAAACCAAACCAAGATACAAGGAGGTAAATAATTTGCCCAAGGCCCACAGTTACTAACAGCAGGGCCAAGATTCAAACTCTGCTAGTCTGGCTTTTAAATTTTGTTGTATTGATTTATTATTCTTTTTAGTCTATCTTTAAGAGCTCACTTTCCTAGGTGTTGTGGAACACTTGAGAGGGATGTGGTGTTCTGAAGGGAGGGGGCTGCCAAACACTCTATGTCCAGCAGCTGTGGGATGGAGCCGTCAGTCTGTGAGGTCAGACTCCGTACATGGTCTTCAGGTCCAAGTCAAGACGTTTCTTCTTGGCCAGGTGCAGTGGCTCATGCCTGTAATCCCAGCGCTTCGGGAGGCCGAGGTGGTAGGATTGCTTTAGACCAGAATTTCAAAACAGTCTAGGCAACGTAGTGAGACCCTGTCGCTATTAAAAAAATAATAATAAAATAATTTTTTTTTTTTTTTTTGAGACGGAGTTTCACTCATGTTACCCAGGCTGGAGTGCAATGGCGTGATCTCGGCTCACCGCAACCTCCGCCTCCTGGGTTCAGGCAATTCTCCTGCCTCAGCCTCCCGAGTAGCTGGGACTACAGGCACGCACCACCATGCCCAGCTAATGTTTTGTATTTTTAGTAGAGACGGGGTTTCACCTTGTTGACCAGGATGGTCTCGATCTCTTGACCTCGTGATCCACCCGTCTCGGCCTCCCAAAGTGCTGGGATTATAGGTGTGAGCCACCGTGCCCAGCCTAATAAAATAATTTTTAAAAAGATGTTTCTTTTTAAAAGATCTTTTCTCTAATGACGTATGTACAAGAGTCTTAACTGCAGCATTGTTTTAAGAGTAAAAAGGTTTAAACCAACCCAGATTTCTATCAAAAATAGGCCAGAAAAGAAAATTACAGTACAAATACACAATGAAATAATAGGCAGCTGTAAACAAAGAAACTTATGTACTGACACGGAACTGTTACCAACATGTATCTGAAAAAAGCAAGTATAGAACAGTGTACAGTTTATATCACCTGTGCAAACAAGGGAAAAGACCACATGTGTATTTGCTTGCAGAGACAGAGAAGATCTCTGGAAGAATGAATACACAAGGAACTGTAATGCTTGTTGCCCCTGATGGGAGGCAGTCACTGCGGGGAAAGGGTGAGAGGCATTCTATGGCATTCTGTATCTTTAATTTCAAACCAAGTGAACATATTGCCAGCTCAAAAAGTGTATGTCTGTATTCTCTGAAAAATGAGTTACAATTTGTAAACTAGACAGAATATATAAAAATTTACATATACCCATGCAATCTATAAACAAAACACATGTGTGGGGAAACAGGATGTTATTAAATCAAGATGGTAACGATCTTTTCCTTTTGTTCTCTATTTTCCCAGAATTGTTAGGATGTGTTTATAGTTAAGAATTTTTAAGGCATTTTTTCCTTGTTTAACTCACTTCCTCCATGACTCTACCTGTATGTCAATCAGTAATCATGGGCAGAAGAATGGAAATGAAAACTAAGGACTCAAGAATCCCAAAATTCACAGTATATTCAACAAAGAAAAAATCCCTACCAGCTTAAAAAGTTGGCAAGTCAATAGTTTCCAATCCTTTATGAGAATACTTGGGGTACAGACTGGGTGCAGTGGCTCACGCCTGTAATCTTAGCATTTTAGAGGCCGAGGCGGGCAGATCACTTGAGGTCAGGAGTTTGAGATCAGCCTGGCCAACATGGTGAAACCCCATCTCTACTAAAAATGCAAAAATTAGCTGAGTGTGGTGGTGCCTGCCTGTACTTCCAGCTACTCAGGAGGCTCAGGCATGAGAATCACTTGAACGTGGGAGGTGGAGGTTGCAGTGAGCTGAGATCACACCATTGCTCTCCAGTCTGGGAAACAAAGTGAGACTTTATCTCAAAAAAACAAAAAGAAAATACGTGGAATAAAAAGAACTACAAAAGAATGGTTCTTGGTGGGATGTGGTAGCTCAGGCATGTAATCCCAGCATCTTGGGAGGCTGAGGCAGGAGAATTGCTTGAGGTCAGGAGTTTGAGACCAGACTGGGTCAACATAGCAAGATTCCATCTCTCCAAAGGAAAAAAAAAAAAAAAAAAGTGGAAAAAGGAATGGTTCTCTAGGTAGGCAGTAAAAAGGCAGAGGGAAGCAAACTATATAATGCACAGTTTCATAATCCTAGTAGAGGGCTCCTAGTTTCAAGTGCCCATTCTTTCATTTCTCATATTTTCCTTCATTCTCAGCACAGGAAAGCAATGATGCTCCAGGTTGTCCCTAACCTTCTATCTCCTAAACATCAAAACTAGTTTCCTTTCTGTTTAAAAAGGGGACGCTGGCCAGGCATAGTGGCTCATGCCTGTAATCCCAGCACTTTGAGAGGCTGAGGCAAGTAGATCACTTGAGGTCAGGAGTTTGAGACCAGCCTCACCAACATGGTGAAGCCCTGTCTCTACTAAAAATTTAAAAATTAGCCAGACATGGTGGTACACGCCTGTAGTCCCCGCTACTTGGGAGACCGAGGTGGGAGGATGGCTTGAGTCTGGGAGGTGGAGGTCGCAGTGAGCTGAGATTGTGCTATTGCACTCCAATTGGGAGACAGAGTCAGATACTGTCTCAAAAATAAAAATAAAGGGGAGGTGGAGAAAAGAAAGAAAAGTTTTAATTTAAAAGAAAAAATAAAGAAAAAAGCACATCGAGTTGTCATAAAATCATTGCCTGAGCGTTCATGACATTGGATAAAATAGATTTGGAAACATTCAAACGCCAGCTGAAGGAAAGGCATTCCTCCCATCCCTCAAACAAGGTAAACAGCGACCCACCTCTGTAATAAAAAGGGAACACGTCAGTCAGGGGGTAAGCTGAGCCCATCTGGTATGGCCGTGATCTGGGGCTTGGCTTCTTAGGCTGCCATTCACTTGAAGTCTATCATCTGATACAGTCACTTTCTTGGTTGTAATCTATGAGCTGCCAGTGTTTACTTGTGAGACTGTCTGGGAGCAGGAAGGGAATGAAGGTAAATACACCAAAGCCCAGCTGAGCAACTGACAGGTTTTACATTTTATTTCCAGGAAATGAGATAGGATTTTCACAAAGAAAAGGTAAGCCATCCTCTCAAAACAGATGCTGCCTTCATGGGCAGCCATGGGGTACACCCAACCTGTCCAAAACAATTGTCAACAGAGGTGCTTCTGAGGTATCAAAACGTAACAAAAACAAATTAAAAAAACAAAACAGAACTCAAATAACTCATTCAACATGTAGTGAGGCAGAGTCTCTGAAGTACCCTGAAGCAGCTGGGTGCCGTGAATCCTGGGGGTGCTTCGGCCAATGATGGCAGCAGGGCTGGCCACCGTGGAAGGCAAGTGACTGAGGGCTTGCTAACTCAGTCTCTGTCCCACAAGACTTCTCAGTTGACCTTCAGAGTAGCAGAGTCACGGCCAGAGAGAGTCTTCCAGACCATCTCAGGCTCCCAGTGCCTGGCAGTCTTTCGAATGCTCTGAGAGCATGGTCTTCAGGACAATCTCTTTGCTTAGAAGAAAAAGAAAAGAGAAATAAATAACAGAGGAGCCTGCATTTCCCTTCCCTGGACTCCCTGCTTCCAGCCTCAGCACCCCGATTCTTCCTCACACGGCAGCCACCACAAACTGAGAAAACAGAAGTCAGATCATGTCCCTCTCTGCCCAAAGCCCACTCCCCATTCCTCTCATAGCAAAAGTCCTTTCAAAGGCCTACAAGGCCCTACACAATGTGCGCCTTGCCCAAGCTTCCTCTCCTCATCTACCCACTCCCACCGCTCACTCCACTCCCCAGCACTGGCCTCCTTGCTGCTCCTCCCACACGCCAGCATGCTCCCCCTTACCATTCCCTCTTTCCCTACATGGCAGCATGGCCGCCACCTTCAGAGCCTCCCTCAAATAGTACCTGCTCAGAGGCAGCTTCCTTGATTACCTTACCTTATCAAGAACTGCCAAGGCTTTCACCATCACCCCTTCTCCCCTTCTTGCTTGATTTCTCTCCATAGCACAAATTATGTGTAACTTAGATTTTCACTTTCTATATCCCCAGCATGTAGAACAGTGCCTAACACAAACCTGGCTCTCAATAAATATCTGTTAAAGGATGTTAAAGGAGGGAATGAATTATATACAGGAATAGGCAGGGAGAGGAGGGAGTTCTTTCTCTATCCGGAGAGGGAGGGGACAAGAAAGGCTATTGACTTCCTGGCCTCCAGGCTTTTCCAATAGCTTCTGCTTCCTTGATCCCAGAAAGGTGGAGTTCCTGGCCTATGCCAAAGGCACAATAAAGTCACCAAGCAAATTGTCCCCTTTCTCTGAGACCAAAGTCTAGAATGCTTTGGTAGGAGATTGAAAGGCCTACAGAAGTTATTTGTCTACCACTTCTGGGTAGCCTTTGAGGTGGTGGGCCTTGGGACTGGGGATGCCTTCATCCTCGGAGAGAGAGAACCAAGTGGGGCTCCCTTCCTCTTAGCTAATGGCCTTAACTACTAGCTCACAGAGCACAGAAGCCACAAGAAAGAAATTCTCTCAACTCTCCTCAAGTAAACTTCCATGCCCCACCCCCCATATGATACTCTTCTTTCTATACAACAGAGAATGTACCTTCTACTCTAAAAGACTAACTCCTGTCTGAGCTCTGCACTGTCTTCCCCTGCCTTCCAAAGAATCACACCCTGTCCGCTATCTCGGCTTTCCCTCATCCCCTTCTCTGCAGGTTCCTTTCAATTTGAGATTTGAACATGCACAAATCTCTTGTCTTTAAAAAACAACAAAAACTCCATTTCACTCTACTTCCTCCTCCAAATACAGCCCTCTTTTGGTGGTGGTCCTCACCATCTCAGTCATAGTCAAATTTTGTGAAGAAGTTATCTATTCTTTCCGTACTTTGTACTCCCTCACCTCAAACTCGTTCCCCAATCACTGTAAACTGCCTTCTGACTCCACCATCCCCCAGAACTTCTATTAGATAGTCACCGATATCCCACATGCCTGCACATTCAATGGGCAATTTTTCATCCTTATCTTGTTTAATGTCTCAGCAGCATTTCAAATGTTGACTTCTCACTTTCTAACTCTTTATAAGCTGAAGAGTTTACTGAAGACCTACCATGTGCCAAACACTCTTCTATGCCCTGAGAATACTACAAGGAATAAGATAAAATTCCTGCCCTCCAGGAGTTCAGAAATCTAGAGGCAAGAGTACACTAACAAATATTATTTCAATCTGGCAAATGCTTTCAAAGAAATAACAGGGCAATGTCTAGGATGTAATGGGGGGAGGCTAACACAGACAAAAGTGTGGTCAGGAAGGCTCAAAACACACCATCTAACATCTTTTTTTTTTTTTTTTAAAAGAGATGGGGGGTCTGGTGTGGTGGCTCACGCATGTAATCCCAGCACTTTGGGAGGCCAAGGTGGGCAGATCACGAGGTCAAGAGATCGAAACAATCCTGGCCAACATGGTGAAACCCATCTCCACCAAAAATACAAAAATTAGCTGGGCACGGTGGCGCACACCTATAGTCTCAGCTACTCGGAAGGCTGAGGCAGGAGAATCACTTGAACCTGGGAGGCAGCTGCAGTGAGCCGAGATTGCACCACTGCACTCCAGCCTTGTGACAGAGCGAGACTCAGTCTCAAAAAAAAAAGAGAGAGAGAGACAGGGTCTAGCTCTTTTGCCCAGGCTGGAGAACAGTGGTACAGTAACAGCTTACTGGGGCCTTAACCTCCTGAGTTCAAGGGATGCTCCAACCTCAACCTCCTGAGTAGGTGGGACCACAGGCATGTGCCACCATGCCTAATTTTTTTTTGAGATGGGGGTCTCACTATGTTGCCCAGGCTGGTCTTGAACTCCTGGCTTCAATTAATCCTTCCACCTCAGCCTCCCAAGTAGTTGTGAGGATAGGCGTGTGCCAACTCCAATGTCATTTGTTGCCTGCCCCACATCCCTCTTTTCCATCTCTTTCTCTTTGGCCATTCATCAGTCTGCCCTGCAGGCTCCTCTTCTACTACTCATCCCATAAATGTTTGTGTTTCTCCGACTAAGAACTGAACTTGCCCTTTGGCTCTTAGCACCACAGAGAGGGTCAGTGGTCCGTCCACTTCCACGGCTCACGGTCCGCAAACCTAGAATCTCAACTGGGCCTGTTCTCCAGGCTCCAGATCCACATATTCAAATACCCACTGAACAACAGCTCCACTGATGTCAACAGCTTTAAACTTTTCAGTTGAAAACTACATTATCGGGCCGGGCGTGGTGGCTCACGCCTGTAATCCCAGCACTTTGGGAGGCCGAGGCAGGTGGATCACGAAGTCAAGAGATTGAGACCATCCTGGTCAACATGGTGAAACCCCGTCTCTACTAAAAATACAAAAAATTAGCTGGGCATGGTGGCACGTGCCCGTAATCCCAGCTACTCAGGAGGCTGAGGCAGGAGAATTGCCTGAACCCAGGAGGCGGAGGTTGCGGTGAGCCGAGATCGCGCCATTGCACTCCAGCCTGGGTAACAAGAGCGAAACTCCGTCTCAAAAAAAAAAAAAACAAAAAAAACTACATTATCTGCCCCAGCTGCTCCTAGTTTAGTAAATGCATCATCAACAACTCAGGTGCCCCTAATAGAAAGAAACCTGGGCATGATCTGAGCTCCCCTGCACTCCCCACAGCATATCAGTCCCACAAACATGTAGATTCTGCCTCCTTAGCTACCTCTTGCATCTATCCACTCTAGCCCTTCATCCCTGCTGCTACTTCTCTAGCCAGCCACTCTCATCGCCGGCCATGATTAATACCCTTATTCTTGTTCCCAGCACCATGTAGTCTCTTCACTACAGCCAGACTAACCTATCCAGAAACACATGAACATCAACAGTCAGATCTCCACTTAGCATCTTCTGATAGTTTCCCCCTGCCCCTGGACTAATGCTGCAACATGTGTGTAACACCCTTCATGACCCAGTTCTGCCTATTTTTCCAGCCTCAATGCTCAACATTCTCTCTAGCACTCTGTATTTCTCTCAGTCCCTCAAAATCCCTTGCCTTTGCTCCATGTCCTTCACTGACTTAGGGAAGCCTTTCCTTGACTTACCAACCTTTACTTCTCACATTGTAGCACTTTCCTCCAAGCAGCCTAGGGCCTGCACCTAGAGCAAAACTTCCATGAGGGCAGAGGCTGCATATGCCCTCTTCATTTTTATCCCCAGGCACTTGGCATTTAGTAGGTGCTAAGAAAAAGGGAAGACCCAGGACTGGGTGTGGTGGCTCATGCCTGTAACCCCAGCACTGTGGGAAGCTGAGGTGGGTTGATCCTATGAGACCAGGAGTTCAAGACCAGGTGACATAATGAAGCCCCATCTCTACAGAAAACACAAAAAATTAGCCAGGCATGGTGGCACACCCCTGTAGTCCCACCTACTAGAGAGGCTGAGGTGGGAGGATGGCTTCAGCCCAGCAGGCAGAGGTTTGCAGTGAGCTGAGATCATGCCACTGCACGCAGCCTGGGCGACAGAAAAAAAGGAAAGACCCAGAAGAAAGGAAGCAAGAAGAGATGTTTCTTTGGGGTTGGTTCTGGTTCAAGTTTAATGCGACAAGGGTAAAAGCAGTCCAGACTCTCCAGGGTACAGAAAGTAACTGAAATAGAAGCCCTAGCCAGGAAAAGGAGCATGTCTGGTTATATCAGATTTCTTAAGAACCATAGCAGCAGGCAGTTGGGACAAAATATATATCCAGCTGATGAGATATAATCAGCCACTCTCTATGATTAGTTCATAGACTATCAACTTATTTGAGCTTGCTCTAAAAATACTCATTGTTCATCTAGGGTTAACCAAGAAACTCAAAGAAAAGCTGCTTTGGTTAATGACACTACTCTATATTTGCACAGGTAGTCTGCTAAAATAGACATTCCTGGAAATAGGTGTGAAAAATCATAAAATTACATGTTCAGAGGGAAGGAGGATCAACTTTTTAGAAAGCCAAAATAACTGTGTTATCACTAAAAACCAAAAAAGGGCAGGAGAAACTTTTACTGTGGGAAACAGCAATGAATAATCTGAAGTGTCTCCTGGTAAACACGAGAGATGGCCAGAACTGCTCACATTCCATCTCCAGGCCCTTTTTCCCAGCCTGATGGAGAAGCTGGGCTGCTGGGCTGCAGCCTCCAAGAGTAATGGGATCCCACCATGGCCAGCAAGCATTGATTTTTCACTTTCAGGACAGCATCGTGTAGGGCTCATTGGAGTCACTGACTCTCCTGCGCTGGATTTCTCAGGGTGTATAAAGCTGTTGTAGCCAGGCAGTCAAAGTCAGCCCTGAATCTCTCAACTCTGGCACGCATGTTTCCCTCAAACTCAATCTTCTATACATTTAGGATGCACTGAAGGACGATGTAGCATCTAGGAAGGCCACTCTCCTAAGCTGTGAAAACTTTTCCAGGTGCATGCAGAGCGGTAGTAGCTTTTGGTGAAAGGGAGAAGACACTCTACCACAGAGCACAAAGTCAGAGAAGAGCCTTTGGACCTCCAGATGGAGGAACCATTCTGAAATCACAGGATTACAGAGACAGTAAGGAATTCAAGGTTCTAGGACTTCCTGGGTTGCTACTCCATACAGTCCGATTAATCCCACACCACACCTCTATTTAGTTTCACTGAGCGAATAGTTCCTATGATGCTCTTGTCATTTCAAACTGTATATTCTGAGGTGCCAATAAGAGTGAGTGACAGGGGAAAAAAATTAGGCCAGTTACAGTGGCTCACATCTGTAATCCTGGCACTCTAGGAGGCTGAGGCGCGTGGATTGTTTGAGCTCAGGAGTTTGAGATCAACCTGGACAACATGGCGAAACCCTGTCTCTACAAAAAATTAGCTGGGTGTGGTGGCACGTGCCTGTGGTCCCAGCTACTTGGGAGGCTGAGGTAAGGGGACTGCCTGTGGCCAAGGCTGCAGTGAGCTATGATCCCGCCACTGCACTCCAGTGTGGTCACAGAGCGAGACCCTGTTTTCAAAAAAAAAAAAGAATGGAAAGAAATCAAACAGGAAAAATCACATCTTGATGACATTCAAAAAAAAAATGAAGGGAAAGAAATCAAACAGGAAAAATCACATCTTGATGACAAGGAAAAACAATAGGAGACAAAAGAAGAGAAAAGAAGGAAAAAAGAAGGGGGATGAATAGGGAAGTGGTGATGAAGAAATAAAAAAGCTTCTTATAACAAGTCTGCTAATGTTCTATCCCATGACAATTTTGCAAAGCATACATTTTTTAAAGTGAAAAGATTTTTTTTTTTTTACTTTTTTTTTTTTTTAAGACAGGGTTTCACCATGTTGGTCAGGCTGGTCTTGAACTTCCGACCTCAGGTGATCCGCCCGCCTTGGCCTCCAAAGTGCTTGGATTACAGGCATGAGCCACCACACCCGGCCTAAAGTGAAAAGATTTTTAAGAATACAGCGTTATGTAACTATTTGACTACAAGCATGTGGACACTCCCACCACATCCTGACCTTGCCAAGATCCAATTTCCCATACACAAACATGGTCTTATACAGGGCAGGCAGAAATGCAGACTTCATGCACATGACCCTGATTCTCTAGGCACAGGACTGAGTAGGTTACAAGTACCTGCTAACAATTATTCTCTCTAGAAGAGTTCAACTTGCCAGACAGGATTACTGCTGCCACTCCCTCAAACATCCCTTTAAAAGGCTGTCTTTCAGCAAAGGAGGATGGGCAATATCAGGGAGAACCTTACAGGTGGGCTGATGGACAGTCTTCGGAGCCTGGGCTTTGCCAGTTTCTCCTGTCCTGTGTTGGGAACACCCTCTACTTCGCCTATAGGAAGCTAGCAAGAGACACAGGCCATGTGGTCTGACCTGGGTCCATCTTCCCCGAGACCCCCAACCTCTGGAGGGGCCTTTGTCTCTCAGATTCACACAAGTTAATAGTTCACAAACGCCTCTCTCCACCTCAGCACATGTGAAGGCCATGGCACACTCTCACTAGTAGCCACAATTCACTATTACAGTAGCAAGGAGCAGGGCGTGGTGGCTCATGCCTGTAATCCCAGCACTTTGGGCGGCTGAGAGGGGCACATTACTTGAGGTCAGGAGTTGGAGACCAGCCTGGCCAACATGGTGAAACCCTCTCTCTACTAAAAATACAAAAATTAGCCGGGGATGGTGGTGCGCACCTGTAATTGCAGCTACTCCGGTGGCTGAGGCAGGAGAATCACTTACACCCAAGAAGCGGAGGTTGCAGTGAGCTGAGATCGCACAATTGCACTTCAGTCTGGGCGACAGAGCAAGACGCCATTTCAAAAAAAAAAAGAAAATAGTAGCAAGGGAGCTAAGGAATGTAGTTTGAAAAAGCCCCTTGGTTGAAATCACTGTTCTAAAGGGCCAAGGAGATTTTTATTTCTACATCATTAGTTTTTTTCTGAGTACAACACAAAGAAACTGCTAGGAAAAGCAAAACAAGAGTTTTAACACTCTTGTCAACTAACTAACATCGAATGACAACAGAAGACATGGGAGGGGAGCAGCTGACAGAAGACTGCCCTCTCACCTCACCAGCTCCAGAGGGAGAGCCTCTATAAGGGATTTCAAAAACAACTTTTCCATTCAGAAAAATCTCATGTCCATATCCCAGAGAGCCAAATGCCTCATGACACAAGACTTGCTGAATGTCTGTCTTGTGCCCTGGCTCCAGAGCATCTGTTCTCCAACTCAGGACCCGGCATCCTAACATTCTCCCTCTCCTCCTCTCCTCTGGCCTCACACAAGAGATCAATGGCTAATCAGTCATGAGACTTCACCTCTCCCACTGACACGTGAAACTTCAATAACCAGCCGAGGCAGCCTCGAAGTGAGGCTGCTCTTGGTGAAATCGGAATACACGCATGCCTGCATGGACAACTCCCTGCTGCCACAGGCAGGCAGGTCTCTTCTGAATTTATGAGAGCAATTCCTGAGCCCAGGGCCTGCAGTGTTGGGGCTCTGACAATTATAGGTATGCCAATCCTAGTTCCCAGATCCTAAATTTGGTGCTTTTAAAAAATTCCCATGCAACGGGGATTAAACCAGCTTTCAATTGGCCCTGGAATATGGAAGGAAGGTTGGTATTTAAACTGAGAATTTTCTCTAAGCCCAGTGAAGCTGTTGATAACTCTGGCATGTCTTTCCCTAAATCAGGTCTCAGAAAACCTGTCGATCTCTAGAGAAAACCTCAAAGCTGCATTCAATGCGATAACTACAGAAACCAAGATGGGTGCCAGAACTGCTCCCAGCCGATGCACGTAACAGGAAGGCTGACTCATTTTACTGTGTGGCCCTCTAGTGTTAGCAAAAAGGTGAGAGATACCCTCTTTAGCCTTTGGAGAGAAAAGGGGGATCTGTTATTACTCTGCAGAATTAACTCTGTGTCACAGGAGTCAGATGTGAACTTAGGACCACAGGGCCCTTCTTTCCTTTCTTTTTGAGACACAGTCTCACTCTGTCACCCAGGCTGGAGTGCAGTGGTGCAATCTCCGCTCACTGCAACCTCTGCCTCCCAGGTTCAAGTGATTCTTCTGCCTCAGCTTTCCAAGACGCTGGGACTACAGGTGTACACCACCATGCCCAGCTAATTTTTTTGTTTTTAGTACAGACAGGGTTTCATCATGTTGGCCAGGCTGGTCTCGAATTCCTGACCTCACCCTCCCAAAGTGCTGGGATAACAGGCGTGAATCATAAGTTCCTGCCTCTTCTTTCCCTTTCTAATGTTTTGTGAAGCCATTTACTATGCTTAGATTGCAAGGAGGGAACTTAGGTGCTAGACTGGGTGAAAAAAGCCATGGGGGTACCTAGGTTTGCCCCTCAACCCCATCCCTCGACTCAGCATACTTCGGCTGAAAGGTCACAACCTGATCTTGGCCAGATCTGGATTCCCAGATCACTGCTCCTCTCAATAAGGCAAAGGAAGAAGAAACATTCACAAGGCCTCCGTAGATACTTTCTAAGCCTTGGCATCATGTGAATATTATGTCTTGTGTGGGCTACACTGGGAATTGGGGCAGGGCAGGTCACTGCTTCTCATGCCTCTGTTTTGCTTGTGCTATTGCCTCTGCTTGGAAAGCTAACCTCCTAGGGAAGCTTTACGGCTCATTCAAATGTCATTTCCTCGATGAAGCTTTCTCCCATAGCTGCACTTGCCCAGGCCACATCAGGTGTGTCTCCTCCTCTGAAGTTTCAAGCACCCTGATATGGAGCTCATCACTTTATCTACTTGCCTTTCTATCTCCTCCACCAGACATGAGTGCTGTAAGGGCTGAGATAACGTCTTATCTTTTTCTCCCGATGCCTAGTGTAGTATTCCTATAAATGCTTATGGAGTCATGGGAGGTGAAAAGGAAGGGCAATGGGATTCTGCCAGAATCAAGTAGCTCTTGGAGGTGAAAATCTGTGGGGGCTTAAATTTAGGCACAAAACCCAAGAGCACACAGCCGTCAGTAAAGTGATAAAACTTCAGTTCCAATGAATGAACTTCCAAAGGCCGACCCGCCCTCCCACAGGTCAGGATGTATTCCTTGGGCATAACAGGCTCAGACACACGTCCTGCTCAGCCTCTGCACTTCCTGCCTCTGTGACAAGCTTGCTGCCTCCATTCTGGGTGACCAACTGAGAGCCAGTTTCAAACCACAGCTGCAAGTCAGTGTCAGATTCTTGGCCCTACTATCCTATTTATAACTCACTGTATGCTCAACTCAAGGGTTTTGCAACACCTGGACAGCAACTAAAGGGTCTTGACAACAGCACCATCTAGTGATTGGTGCAGCAAAACGTCTGTGTTTTTTTAAAATCACATCTTTATTTTACCCCCACAACCAAGGCACACATTCTTGGCCTCCCACTGTCCTGCAGCTCAAGTAACAGTTGCGGGGAATTCTATGTCAACTCTTCCTCTCATGCATTCTTTAACTCCCTTTACTCCTCCCCATTTATTCCACCTCTTCCCTAGTTTAAGAATCATTTATCTGACTCTTTCTCTTCCAAAAAAATGTGCTGAAGTTTGGAAGTAAATAAGTCCTTCCTTGAGGGGCAGGGATTCTTACACCCACTCACCTTTTCGTTCCCTAATGAGAACAATCCGTCGTTCTTTCACTTCTGAGCTCAGATTATCTACCATCTTATTAATGCAATTGTCCAGAACCAAAGAGTATGTTTTAGACTCAATGTTCTTCCGACAAATGGGGCATTCTATCTTCCGCTTCATCCATTCACTGATACAGTAGGAACAGAAACTGTGGGCACAGTTCAAGGTGACAGCCTACAATAGGAATGTGAACACACATATCAGAACCTTCATGGCTACTTTCTCAGGATGCTTGTGATCTCAAACTTAGGACAGGAGCGAATGTCAAGGCCAAATGGAAAGTTAACCACAATCCCATGTCGAGGGCTTACAAATAGCATTAGAATCATTCTTAGGGTTGGGCCAGGCACGATGGATCATGCCTGTAATCTTAGCACTTTGGAAGGCTGAGGTGGGTGGATCACCTGAGGTCAGGAGTTCGAGACCTGCCGGGGCAACAGGGCAACACCTTGTCTCTACTAAAAATATGAAAATTAGCCGGTCATGGTGGTATACACCAGTAATCCCAGCTACTCAGATGGCTGAGGCACAAGATTCGCTTGAACCCAGGAGGTGGAGGTCACAGTGAGCCAAAATTATATCACTGCACTCTGGCCTGGGTGACAGAGGGAGACTCTTTCTCCAATCAATCAATCAATCAATCAATCAATCTATCTATCTATCTTAGGGTTGGGAAATTTTAAGCTTTATTTTAGACAATTACTTTCTTTTGTCAAAGTTAAGGTCACAGACTCAGGCTCCAGGCAGGCTGATTTATGTTTCAGTCCACCAACTCAGACCACGCTGCCAATGTGGGGACCACCTTGCAAACAAAATGTTACTGGACATGAGTAGGACTAGTAATTGTTCCCTAATGAGAACAATTTGTGAATGCTTACACCTCTAATCCCAGCACCTGGGGGGCTGAAGCTGGTAGATTGCTTGAGCCCAGAAATTCGAGACCAGCCTGAGAGACATGGTGAAACCTCAGCTCTACAAGAAAAAAAAAAAAAACAGCCAGGCGTGGTGGCACAGTCTGTAGTCCCAGCTAGTCAGGAGGCTGGAGTGGCAAGATCACTTGAGCCTGTGACGTGGGGGCTGCAGTGAGCCGTGATGGCGTCACTGCACTCTAGCCTGGGCGACACAGTGAGACCCTGTCTGGAAATAAAACAAAAACAAACAAATAAAGACAAACAATAAAAATTACAAGTATTTTCCACCAATCTGATGCTTTTATAAAACAATTTTTTTAAAAGAAAAACAAATTTATGTGCTTGCTAATTAACAAATGAAAGAGAATGCATACTAAATATTAGTATACAGAATTATATAAGATATCATCTCTAAAGAAACTAAAAAAGTAAAATAATATAGAAGGCAACTAAAAATGCTAAGCAAAAAAGAAACTAAAAAATGTAATGAATTGGCCGGGCGAGGTGGCTCACGCCTGTAATCCCAGCACTTTGGGAGGCCGAGGCGGGTGGATCACAAGGTCAAGAGTTCGAGACCATCCTGGTCAACATGATGAAACCCCGTCTCTGCTAAAAATACAAAACATTGGCTGGGCATGGTGGCGCGTGCCTGTAATCCCAGCTACTCAGGAGGCTGAGGCAGGAGAATTGCCTGAACCCAGGAGGTGGAGGTTGCGGTGAGCCGAGATTGCGCCATTGCACTCCAGCCTGGGTAACAAGAGCGAAACTCCGTCTCAAAAAAAAAAAAAAGTAATGAATTGATTGACAGTGCCTGAACATCTAAGTAAATGGGTCAATAAAGAGAGAAAGCAAAAGGAAGCCTGTATTTGAGGGACTCCTCTGAGTAGTCCCTCTGGTCAATTTCTGCCAGAGCCCTTTTCACTCCTAAAAATAAAACCTTTCTCTTTTTTACTCTTGTTTATGTACATCTCCTAAAACACAACTTTTTCTGAGGCTCAAAAGTCCTCATTCCTGCTTTTAGGATAACAGTGCAAAATAACATGGATACTATGTATTTTTCAAATGTCAAGCTGAGCACAGAATCTAGGGAACACTGTGTTTATTATATGAGACAAGCTCTCATAAACAGTCCTGAAAACCCATCTGATAAAAATGAAACACCTGGCCAGGCTCACTGTAATCCCAGTACTTTGGGAGGCCCAGGCAGGCGGATCACCTGAGGTCAGGAGTTCAAGACCAGCCTGGCCAACATGGTGAAATCCCATCTCTACTAAAAATACAAAAAAATTAGCTAGGTGTGGTGGTGGGTGCCTGTACTCCCAGCTACTTGGGAGGTTGAGGCAGGATTGCTTGAACCTAGGAGGTGGAGGTTGCAGTGAGCAGAGATTGTGCCACTGCACTCCAGCCTAGGCGACACAGTGAGACTCTGTCTCAAAAATAAACAAATAAATAAATAAGTAAAATAAAACATCTTTCTGAGACTGATTTTAAGAGGTGATCAGTAGAGTAGACAAGACAGTATTCTGTGAATAAAACACAGGTTAAATTGATTAAGTCTTATATGTCTCTGCAGATGCTCCCAGTTGGCTAACTCATCATTTATTTCAACCCCTTTCCTTGTTTTCCTCTACTGGAGTCCATAAACCCTGTCAAACCAACACTGAGTTTCTCCAAAGTAGGGAATCATTATGGGGGAAATTATGACCTAAAGTATAATCCAGAGCAAAAGAAACAGGTCTGCCCAGGAGAGATTTTTTTAAGAGGCTAACGGACCCAACCTCCCTAAAGATAGATCACCTGAGAAAAGAAAGCTGTGTGTATACATTTCCCATTTTTTTTTTTTTGAGACAGAGTCTCGCTCTGTAACCCATGCTGGAGTGCGGCAGTGGTATGATCTCGGCTCATTGCAACCTCCGCCTCCTGGGTTCAAGCAATTCTCCTGCTTCAGCCTCCCGAGTAGCTGGGATTACAGGTGCACACCACCATGCCAGGCTAATTTTTGTATTTTTAGTAGAGGCAGGGTTTTGCCATGTTTACCAGCCTGGTCCCAAACTCTTGACCTCAGGTGATCCACACACCTCAGCCTCCCAAAGTGCTCAGATTATAGGCATGAGCCATTGCACTCGACCTGCATTTTTCTTTTTATTTTTGTTTTCATTTTTCTTTTTTTTCTGCCTTGCTCTGTCATCCAGGTTGGAGTACAGTGGTGTGATCTTGGCTCACTGTAGCCTCTGCATCCCGAATTGAAGTGATTCTTCTGCCTCAGCCTCCTGAGTAGCTGGGACTACAGGCACACACTACCACGCCCAGCTAATTTTTGTATTTTTAGTAGAGACAGGGTTTCACCATGTTGGCCAGGCTGGTCTCAAACTCCTGACCTCAAGTGATCCGCATGCCTTGGCCTCCCAAAGTGCTGAGATTACAGGTGTGAGCCACTGCACCCAGCCTTCTTTTTAAAGGAGTCTGAAAAGCACTGTCATTTAGCAACTTGACTTTAACACTTGTGGTCTAAGATGAACTGGTCACAAATGGCAGAATTTGTTAAATAAATAAATAAGCCAGTGCAAAAATTATGATAGGCTAACGAATGGTAGGAAGATGTTTCATTTCCATAAGGAGCCTCAGAGTCCCTGAAATATATTCAGCTTGGGCCTTGAATTCCCAAAGTGATCACATTTTAATGATGTTTACCCGTTTAAAAGGCTGCACTATAAGTATATTCTCAGCATTGTGACCATTCAAAGTAAAGAATAGCTTTATTGAGTAGCTTTATTCTGATACTTCCAAAATCTAATTTGGCCCTTTTTCCCCCTCAACAACAAAGAGATGAAGGCTTCCTTTGCAGCTAAAAATGTTAATCATACCAAATAAACATTTAAGAATAGACGAAATACCAAAAAAGGACACTGAAAGGAAAGATTATAAAAACCAGTAAGTAGTGGGCATCTCTAGAGGTCACTTTGAAATCAAATAGTTATAAGTTCCTGGAAGAAAAGCTCTTCAGAATGTTTCCCTGTAGCAGAAGCAGCCTGTATAGTCCAGGCTCCACTCAGGGTTGGAAGGATAAGAAGGGGTTGGCCAGGTGTGGTGGCTCATGCCTGTAATCCCAGCACTTTGGGAGGCCGAGGTGGGTAGATCACCTGAGCTCAGGTGTTCGAGACCAGCCTGGCCAACATGGCGAAACCCCATGTCTACTAAAAATACAAAAAATTAGCCAGGCATGGTGGCCCATGCCTGTAATCCTAGCTACTGTAGAAGCTGAGGCACAAGAATTGCTTGAGCCCTGGAGGTACAGGTTGCAGTGAGCCGAGATCACGCCACTGCACTCCAGCCTGGGTGGCAGAGCGAGACTCTGTCTCAAAGAAAAAAGAAGGGGTGAGCAACTGTTCATAATTACCTCAATGAAGTATTCTGAACAAATAATACATTGGAGCTCATTCTCTAGCACATCATTCATGTGGCTGAGAACTTCCTCCTTCTGTGCTTGCATCTTCTCCTTCTCTTCCTGTAAGAAACATACCACCACCTGTCATTCAGCAAACCAACAAAAATGCAAAATGGGACAGGGAGCAGGGTTAATTTTCTAAAATAGGATTCAGTCTTAATTAATGATTCATTCTGGTGCAGCAACATGAGAATAAAACACTTTCCCTAAGGGTTGCTGTTTCTCAATACTTGTTTTCTAAAACAGAGCACTAACTCCTTTATTTTCCCTCCCTACTTGCTATGGTCTGATTGTTTGTGTTTCCCCCCAGATTCTCATGCTGAAACTTAATTTCAAATGTAATGGTATTAAGAGGTGGGCCTTTGGGAGCTGACTAGGCCATGAGGGCTCCATGCTTATAAATGGAGTTAGTGGCCTTTATAAAACGGGCCCAAGGAGAGCTTGTTTGCCCCTTCCACCATGTAGGGACACAGCAAGACTCCAGTCAGAAGACAGCCCTCACCAACACCAAATATGCCAGCACCCTGATCTTGGATTTCCCAACCTCCAGTACGGTGAGAAATAAATTTCTGTTGTTTTTAAGCTACGCAGTTCAAGGTGTTTTTTTCACAGTAACCTGAATGGACTAAAACACCACTTTTTCAGTATTTGCATTGTAGTTTCTGTCTCCTTCTCCAAAAGTAATCAAATGAGAAAAAATGCAGGTGGCATACTAACCACACCAACCACTCAAGACCAGATGGGATATTAAGTAGTCTATAGAAAGCTGTAGTTCAGATGTTACGTAAAATCATCCCAAACAATTAAAAACTCACTGGACAAGAAAAGAGACATGAATAGTCCAGAGAGGCAGGAAACGTGAATTAGTTATAAAGTTGCTGTGTTCTTTCCAGCTGTCTCTTCTATAAAGTAAGGTATACCTCTGGAGGCAGAAAACTGGAGACAGGGCCTCTTGAACTACCTTCAGGCTCCATGCTCCATGATACCTGCCACTTCCCACTCCTGCAGAGGCCTGTAGTACCATCTCCCTGGGCTTTCTCCAAGAGGTCAGACTACATGTGACACACTTTGTAAGTAGGATCCTAGATATGCTCTCTTGAAGCAGACATTTATTTTAGTACTTCATCCCCAAAAGAGAAATCATTAAGAGTCCCGGAGGGGGAGTGGAAAGACCATTTGGGTATTTATGAGTGGCTGGCTCATTTTTCATCTTTTTATTTTCTTTTCCACTCAAAGCAAAGACTGGCAGACTGCTTAGGGTAGTGAAAAAGGTCTGGACCCATTTCTAACTATAGTCAAATTCCCTGAGAACTTATGAATCACTGGGTTTAAAAAGATGTGGTAGTTTCTTGGAGGTTGGAGAAGAAGGTATTAGGTAATTTAAAGAGGAAATCAAACCAACTAAAACAAGTCCCTCCTTCAGCTCTAGGTCTGTACATGGAGCGGGTAGGATGAGAGATTAGTCAGACTCAGGTATTAACTTCAAGTCAGAGGTTGCAAATTGGTGGCCTGTGGACTGGATCCACCCTGCAGACTTGTTTAGTTTGGCCTTCATATTAAACACACACCCACCCACCCCTGCAGACTTGTACACACACACACACACACACACACACACACACACACACACACACACACACACACACACACACACAGCTGAAGTTGTACCAATATTTAAAAATTATTTAAGATATTTCACTTAAACATTTGGATTGTCGTCTGCTGTGGAAGAATCAGAAAATCTGACAACACTGGGCCTGCACTTCTGGATGGCAACAATCGGCTGAGAGAGAAGAGTGGCCTCCTGGGACGGGAGCGGGTGCAAGTACCCCTATCCAGTGAGCCATAGGCTGCTCAGCTCCCCACTGTGTTCTTACATTCAGGCCACTTCACTCACTTTTATTACCAGTCTGGCCCTGGTAAGCACTTAAGTTTATAACCCCTAATTCAAGAGTTCTACTTATTTGACATGGGAAGGAATTGCATTAAGTAATTCACTTTAGTTTATGTAATTCAAATTATTTCTTGACTACAATATCCGTCAGTCTGTATCAGCGACACACCTTGAAGGAGTATTCACCATGGACAAAGGACTAGAATGCAGGATGCAAGTGCCTTATTCCCAGCATTTTGCTTCTGAACAAGGGGAAGAAATAGATGTTGTCTTACAGGCAGAACCTTCTGTAGGCCTCAATAATTTTATAGATTATTTCCCCAGAGGCAAGGGGCAGTCATAATCTCTCTCTTCATTTACCATAGCAACCCTTGCACTGTTGAAAATGCTGAGTCGCATGCACTAACCAAATTCTAAACCTCCCATCTTCTTTCCAGTACCTTGGTCTGCTCCAATTCTTTGTTCTTGGCTTGAATGATTGCTTCAAAATCCTTCTTGCTGCGATTTAGCTCTTCCATTAGAGCCCGATGCTGCAAAAACATAGCAGATACATACTCAGGATGAACTACACGGCATCCTTCTTTTAAGCCACAAACATGCCTGTTCTCTCCCTCTACTTAGTGACTTTGGTTCAGGGATGGATAAATTGGCAATTTCAAAATAATGCCTTTATTCCATCAGGCTATCTTACCTACCTGCTGCTTTTTTCAGGGGAAACGGCAGTTACAGAAGGCGGCCACCAAACGTACTAGGGCCTCTGAAATTAACCCAACACTGGTGGCCATCCAAGTCAACTGAAGAACTTTCACTGCGTCCCTGAGTCTGCTTTTGTAGGTTTGGCTTGGGGCCCAGAAATGCGCTTTTTTTTTTTCTAAAGCCACCCAAATGATTCTGGGAACCACTATTTAAGAACTAGTAAGTAATTACAAGCTATTCAGAACTAGAAGTGGCTTTTATGAAATAATCAGGGGGAAATGGGAATCAGAGAAATTAGACAGTCATTTTCATTGAAATAAAAAAGATCTTTAACCTATTTATTCTACAAATCATACACTACATATGCTCATAAGACAATGCTGCCTGAACCCTGCCAGTGTCTTCTGGAAGAAGGCACACCTCGTAGCTAACCGCTCATTCACTGTGACTAAATGCCTATGCTGAATGTTAAGAGGTTCCACATCTATGAAATATAATTTATGAGTACCCTCATGCTTAAGTATAGCTTTTATTTTAGAATCTCGCCTCAAATTCTTTTTAAAAGAAGGTAGAATAAATATTTTTGAAAAGATATTATTCAATAACCAAATTTTAAAATGTGTAATCTTCTGTGGAAAAAAAAAAAGCAGTTATATCAGAAAGCCTGGGTCTTCAACTTGACTCACTAATTAGATATGTGTATTTTAACTTTCTCATCTATAAAATGGGAAAATATGGCTGGTTGTGATGGCTCACACCTGTAATCCTAGCACTTTAAGAGGCCAAGGCAGGTGGATCACTTGAGCTCAGGAGTTTGAGACCAGCCTGGGCAAGATGGTGAAACTCCAGCTCTACAAAAAATACAAAAAATTTGCTGGGCATGGCGGTGTGCACCTGTGGTTCCAGCTACCTGGGAGACTGAAGTGGGAGGATCACCTGAGCATGGGAGGTGGAGACTGCATTGAGCTGAGATTGCACAACTGCACTACAGCCTGGGTGACAGAACGAGACACTGTCTCAAAATAAAAATAAAAATAAGCTGGGAAAATAGGTGTCCCCTCCTACCTCAGCATTGATAAGAAAGTAACAGGTTGGGTGCAGTGGCAGGTGGATCACCTGAGGTCGCGAGTTCAAGACCAGCCTGACCAACATGGAGAAAACCCATCTCTATTAAAAATACAAAATTAGCCAGGCGTGGTAGCGCAAGCCTGTAATCCCAGCTACTTGGTAGGCAAGGCTGAGGCAGGAGAATCGTTTGAACCCATGAGGCGGAGGTTGCAGTGAGCTGAGATTGTGACATTGAACTCCAGCCTGGGCAAGAGGAGCACAACTCCACCTTGAAATATAAATAAACAAATAAAATAAAACAAAGCAAAATAACAGGTATGAAAAGCATTCAGAGAAGTTTTTTGAGCTGTATATAAATGCAAGTTTTTACAATGGTCTGGTAAAGAACAGCTTTCAAAGAGACCAGCATGGTAGAACAAAAAACCACCATTCCTTCACCTGAGAGTGGCATGATGGTATAGAACCATGACCTAAGAGTATCACATCTTAAGCTAATAAATGCGTGGACAAGTATCCCATGCTAAATGATAGTGTGTTTTCCTGTCTCAGGAGAGGGTGCAGGGCAATCAGTGATGCCTCAGGGATTTCCAACTAGCAGAGCCATATCCTTTTTCAGTCTCAAAACAATGTCTGAATATTAACTTAATAATGCTCCAAAGGGGAAGCACACCTATTCTCCCACCCTAGAAAATAAGCTCAAAAAATAAAATTCTAAAAAGATTGAATTAATTTTCATCTAATTCTTTCCAAAGCTGTTTGTGCAACCCTCAAGGAGATCAAGGCAAGCACCTTGTCATAATACTATATGACTGTTAGCACTGTAAGATTGGGAGGTAGGTTTACAGTAAAAGAATGTAAGGATAAATTCCTCTGAACAAATTCAAATGAAATTTGCTCACTTTCCCCAATGAGATGAACCATCCTGACTAAATGTGCACTAAATTACTAATCATAATACATTAAAGGTAGAAGACAAAGCAGGTTTTAAAGATGCAAAAGCACAGAAAAAAACAACCAAATGAGAGTAGTCAGGTTAAATTAAATAAATTACAGGCAATATTTTAGGAGAATTTTAGTACTGTTGAGCTTTACCTTTTCAATAAATTGATATGTTTTGTTGACTGTTAAACTACACATTCTCAACCTGGCCTAAAATGCTTAACTGGTATGTTCTCGAATTGCTTCTGGTTGACCACAGCTTAGGGACAGTGCGGTAACAGAGGCCTTCACGGACCCTGGTGGCCAAGTCATAGCTCACATTTTCCCTCTGCTGCCCTCGCCTTTCTGGAAGTGGAGCCACTTCCTCAGAGAGCCTCCTAACTGCTAAAGCTCCATCCCATCTTCACCAGAGCAACTTCTGTTCAGATGAAGATGTTAAGTTTTCATGCTTGTCTAGCATGTCTGTAAGGCTCCAAATCTCTGACCTGATGGTGTGAGCAGCTGCCACCTGCTCTGTTTGCAGACTGGAGATGCCATGGAGGTATGGGCTCAGCAGCAGAGGCAGCCAGTGGTCATGTGATGCCTGGCTGCTCCCCACTCCACAGCCCACCATAATCTTAGTACTATAGCAAAGTTACCTCCTGCAGAGCCTGGGCCAGCTGTTCCTTCAGGTCCTCTTCTCCTTGCACTATCTCCAAATCCTGCAAAGCCAAAACAAAATGGAAAGTTTCTCTGCAGGGAAAACAAAAAAGAAACACAATCCAGCAACAAGCAGAGCAGACCAGTTAGTGTGAGCATCTGGAAGCAACGGGGGTGAGGGAGCAGGTGGAAAATCTCCTGTTTTACTTCAAGCTGTTGGTAGCAAAGAATTTGAGCAGAGTTATCTGCTCAAATACTGCACACCTCAGGACTGTGAGCTTTAAGTCACCACTTCGGCTGTTCTGGAACTACTATGGCCTAATAGTCCAAGCCTCCTTCACAGACTAATGTCATGATTCCCAAAATGATGTAAACTGAGCACTTCTGAGTCCCCACATACCTAAACTCAGATGTAATCCTCAATGCTGGCACTAACAACATCTAGCATGCTTCTTTTCCCTCTATTCTGGCCACGCTGTCTCATTCTGAGTCCTTACCACTTCAGTTTATACACTGCTCCTCCTCTCTCCTTGCCTGAACTGATGCTATATTTCCTCGTCAGCACCCTCCAGTTGGGAAGCTTTCCAGGTTATCATTAACCTATATGTCTAGCACCTTCCAAAATAACTTTTGGGCTCTTCTGTCCTTAAGAACTACCTACCCATTTAACATGCCAACTTGAAATTGTTCTCTAGTTTACTATATTGACTGAAAACTCTCTGATTTCATTATGTGAGTGATACATCTTGCCTCTTCAACAAGATAAATTCCTTAATGGCAAAAACCATTTGTTAAGCATCTTTTTTTTTTTTTTGAGACAGAGTTTCCACTCTTGTTACCCAGACTGGAGTGCAATGGTGCAATCTCGGCTCACCGCAACCCCTGCCTACTGGGTTCAAGCAATTCTCCTGCCTCAACCTCCCGAGTAGCTGGGACTACAGGCATGCGCCACCATGCCCAGCTAATTTTTTTTTTTTTGTATTTTTAGTAGAGATCCATCTTTATAACCACCAGAACTCCCTAGTACCAGGCAATTTGAGTACTTAAAAAAAAAAAAGTGTGGAGGATCCAAGATGGCCGATTAAGAGGAGCTCAGGATTGCAGCTCCCAGCCAAAGTGCGGAGGGTGAGTGGACACTGCATTTACAGATGGATTTTTATTGTTCACAGACCAGGAGATTCCCAGGCGGAGGAGCCCCATGGGTCGCAAACCCGGCTGTTTGGGCTGGCGCCCTGGTGAGGCGGGTCTCTGCACAAAATACACGGTTCCAGGTGCCATTTTAGCTGGTGATTGGAGCTCCTGGTAGACAGAGTCACCCATTCAACTGATTAAAAAAGGGGACTAAAACAGGGAGCCAGGCCAGGAGATTTCCGGAAAAAAAGAAGCCACAAATCTCAGCACGGCTGTTTCAGCCAGCAGTGGGTCGCTGCACGGCAATCACACAGATCCTGGCGCCTTTTCAACAGGCAACTGCAACACCTTGGAGACAGAGTCACCCGTTCAACTGATTAAAAAAAAAAAAAAAAAAAAAAAAAAAAAAAAAAAAAAAAAAAAAAA